TCCATCCATCCATCCATCCATCCATCCATCCATCCATCCATCCATCCATCCATCCATCCATCCATCCATCCATCCATCCATCCATCCTCAATTTTTCCAGCTTCCATATATTATCACTGTAGAAATATTGTTCATAACTTTATTTTTCAGTTTAATATTTGCTCTATGAAACAAGTCTGAAACTCAAAATTCAGATTTTGTAAATGTGTGGATATATGAGTAAAAAACATGTAGGAACCTTTAACGCCAACAATGAGAAGCTAGCAGGCTAATGCTAAGCTTGCTAAGGTTATTTTTTTATTAGCATGCTAGCTCCTCTTTCATTCTCATACATCAGAAGCAGCTGTTTAAAACAAATTTAAAATATGTCACATTGATGACAGATTTCCAGTTAAATCTCACCATCTAGTTTTCATGCTAACAAGCTAGTTTGTTTTTAGCTAAAGAGGAATGAAGAAGTTTCCTTCAAGTTAGGATTTAAATGACTGGTTTGGTTGTTATTAACAGGTTAAGGTTCAAATAAGATGAAAAAGATGAAGGTTCTTCATATTTCATCCTGAGGAGAGTGGAGCAGAACTCTCTGGACTTTCAGAACCCATCATGTTATGATGTGAAATAAAACTAAAAGTCCCTTATTATGGGTCACAGATCCGTTCCATCAACACCTCAACATAAAAATGAACAAACATTTAGGGCAGAAGTTCCCAGAACCTTTGGGCTCTGACCTACAAAGTAGTACAAAATGATCTCATGATCCAAACTATTGGTCGGAATACAAAAGTTGACTTAAACAAGTAAAACAAATTCTATTATACTAGTAATAAAAAAGATATATAAATGAATATACTTGGTTTGTGATGTTTTTATATCTTTAAACTCATAAATAACCTTCATCGTTTTCAGTTTAAGTGTTTCGTTTACAGTCTGTACAGGATCTAAAGACCCCATGCTTGTTGATCCATGAACACAAATTGGGTCACGACCCCCACTTTGGGAATTAATGCAGGGGTTCCCAAAAATGTCAGACTGTGACCCCAAAAATATTAACTCAACATCCTGGCAAACTCCTAGAATACATATTCACTAATTAAGCTGTATTTATTTAGTGGGATATTTTTGAAACTGAATGTTCTATTTAATGTTGTAATCATATTTTAGACACATAATTAAATGTTACATCTACATATTTCATGACATATTTTGCTCCTCATATACCTCAGAGATCATCCAGTCAGATTGATTCAAAGTTTTCTATCTAAGGAAAACCAGTTGATTGCATCGACTCATTGACTGGAAGGCAATCCCTCACACTAAGCATGCTTGTAGCGAAAGTGGAGAGGAAAAACTACCTTTAAACAGGAAGAAACCTCCAGCAGAACCAGGCTCAGTGTGAGCGGCCATCTGCTGAGGCCGACTGGGGTGCAAGGAGACAGAAGCAGACATAGAAAAAGAAGCATAGATACAAAAGCCAGTCATTCATTGTCACATATATATATATATGCTATTTCTAATTAAATTCTTCTAAAAGTGATAAAATAACTCATCAATTTGAGGTTTGCTGGTTCCTTTTCATGTCCTCGTCTCATCCGTCTGTCTGCTTGTTCTAAAGCCCAACAAACCTCCAGCCAAACTCAACCTGCTCACCTGCCAGGTGAAGAGGAATCCCGACGAGAAGAAGAGCTTCGACCTGTTTTCACGTACGCCGCAGACTCGTCCCTTTGCACACGTCCCCTCATCACCTTCCCCGTGTTTTCCTCTGAAAGCTCCGTTTCTTCCTCTCTTCCAGATGACAGAACCTACCACTTCCAGGCCGAGGATGAGGCGGAGTGTCAGGTGTAAGTTCTGGCGTCCGGAGCCTTGGTCGGCGGCGCGGGGCGTCTGTTCGTTCTCACTGAGATCTGTTTGTTTTTCAGCTGGGTGTCGGTGCTGCAGAACAGCAAGGAGGAGGCTCTGAACATGGCCTTCAAAGGCGATCAGAACGAAGGGGAGAACAACATCGTGCAGGAGCTGACCAAAGCTATCGTCGCAGAGGTGAAGAGGATAAGCGGCAACAACGGCTGCTGTGACTGCGGCGCCCCCAGTGAGTCCTCGTACCTCTGAAAAACATGGTGCTTAAAAAAAACAAAAAAAAAAACAGCTGGCCTGACAATCATGGGCGGTTCTAGACAGGGGCCAACGGGTGCCGGCGCCACTGTAGATCATGTCCTGGCCCCTGTTATGGCCCCTATACTAAAGACATAATACTCAATGAAATTGTAATGATGATATGCGCTGGAACAGACATGGTTATTGATAGATCCGTTGGATCTATTTCATTATTTTTCCTTTAAAAATTCTCTTTTACTAATTATTTAAAAACAGTAAGGTGATCGATTCAGTGGGATTAAGA